ATATAGAGAAAGGAAAGAAACTGGTACATTTTGTAAAAGAATATACTGTAGGTGAAATGCATTAACAATTGAAGTAATGTAGATTAATGGTAACAACCTCCTCAATGATGTCACCGTTTTCAGCATGAACCTGTGCGATGGCACCCAGTTCCCTCATGGCACTAAACATCTCATAGATCTACAGACACAGAGAGTGTTAGTTCTTGGGAACAGGATTGCTAAATGTTAAAAAGTTTGGTTTTTCAGCAAGGATGCATTAAAATGATCAAAAGTGACAGTAAAAACATTAATACTGTTACAAAGAATATCTATTTTAAATTCTGTTCTTTTAAACTTTCTTTTCATCGAGGAATCCTGGAATCCTGAAAAAAAATGTATTTTGTGTTTCCGCAAAATTATTAAGCAGCACAGCTGTTTTCAACATTATCATTAACATTAATACTGAAAAATATTTCTTGAGCAAAGCAGCATATTAGAATGATTTCTGAAGGATCATGTGACACTGAAGACTGAAGTAATGATGCTAAAAAATTCAGCTTTGCATCACAGGAATAAATTACATTTTAAAAGATATCCAAATAGAAAACGGTTATTTTAAATTGTAATAATATTTCACAATATTATTGTTTTTACTGAATTTTTGTTCAGACAAACGCAGCCTTGGTGAGCCTCATGCTTTTGAACTGTAGTGTAAACATCATTCTCTTTATTTTTAGCATTTTATTTACCTGTGTATCAGAGCTCTGATACTTGTCCTTATAAGCCATAAAGATCAGGAAGGAGTTGACACCTAAAACAAAAAACGAAGAATTGTGTTTTTATAATGTAATTTATATTTTTGAGGCTGAATGCTGAATGTGTTTGGTTAAGAAACCTAATAACGCAGAAAGCAAAAATATCAAAGTCACACCTGAAATCTCACATCACCTTTATCTTTGACCAGAGACTCCAGCTCCTCAAACAGCCCATCATGCCAGCGAGTGATGTCAATGTGCAGAGAGTAATCACAGCACGACCTCTTGTCTGCCATATCCCTCCACTGGTCATACGCTGCCAGTAAACTAGCTCCCGGTTCAGGTACAGCATGGTCAACTAAGATGAGCAGAGCATACAGATTAAAAACATGCTTCAAAAATGACAACTCTGTCCTCATTTACTCACCCTCAAGCTGTTCTAAACCTGCATTAAACCTGACAGAATTATCATTTCTGGGTGAACTATCCCTTTAATATGTTAAAAAATATATATTAAAGACTCTTGTGTTAAATGCTTGTGGTCATAAACGGGTAGCTGACAATATTTCAAGCAATGACAGCAGTCTGAGATGCTGTAACTCATCAAAAACTTTTTCTAATACTTCCATAATTATGCATGGTAATTGTATAAGCTGCTGCTTATAAAGGATTCTGTGGGTTGGGTTTTATGGGCATAAATGTAAGACTTTTTAAAGACCAAGTATAGAAAATTGAAGGACTTCGAAAAAGTTTGACAATACAACTTCCAACTCATCTCTATTTTAATTCATTTTATAAAATAAGACACTTAGATAAGAAAAATAAGTTTTCATACCCTACTGACAGATGCTTGTTCTTTTTTGCTCATTTTGTCAGAAAACATATCTTCATTTCGCATCTCAAGTAAATGGGTCTTGATTTAAGGATGTTTAGATATTTGCAATGGAAAACAAGGCAAAAATACAGAGGAAGACATACATTTTTAGCAATGCATGCAACATTTAATGCCATGAATTTATGACTTTTTGCTCTGATTTAAGACCTTTTTTAAGGCCTTCATTTGTGGAAGGGCAAATTAAGACATTTTTAAGGCCCACAGAAACCCTGTGAAAATTGAGTAACTGCATGGATTTTGTATTTGTCAAACTGCAGGATAACTAGGAGAAAGATACGACAAAAGGTGATTCAAGATGGTGAAAAAACAAAAATACAAATGTGACCCTGGAGCACAAAACCAGTCATAAGTAGCACAGGTATATTTGTAGCAATAGCCAACAATACATCGTATGGGTCAAAATGATTGATTTTTCTTTTATGCCAAAAATCATTAGGATATTACATAAATATCATATTCCATGAAGATATTTTGTAAATTTCCAACCATAAATATATCAAAACTTAATTTTTGATTAGTAATATGCATTGATAAGAACTTCATTTGGACAACTTTAAAGGCGATTTTCTCAATATTTTGATTTTTTTGCACCCTCAGATTTTCAAATAGTTGTATCTAATATTGTCCTATCCTAACAAACAATACATCAATGGAAATCTTATTTATTCAGCTTTCAGATGATGTATAAATCTCAATTGCAAAAAATTGACCCTTATGACTGGTTTTGTGGTCCAGGGTCACAATGTCTTGTCTGGTATATATGTACCACATTTGCTGTTTAAACAAGCAATAGGTTTCTGTCTTTTTACAGATACCATTCACATGTCTGATTAACCGTTTTCTTTGAAAAGTGCTATATATTTTCAAGTATATTATGTTTAATAACTTGTTTCTTGAACTGTTGCATAAAAGCAGTATCACCTAAAAATCTTGAGGGGGAAAATGTTTAGTGTTCATTTGTTAACTACCCAAACACAGATTGTTTAAAACTTCTCCATAAAGTCAAGATTTCTTTTGTGTTTCACTACTGGGTTGAAATGATGCATTTAAACCCAATGATTTCTGTGTCCTAAATGACTCCAGTACAGCAGCTTATCTGAGGAAAGTTGAGCAGAGGAGAAGAGAACAGACAGTGACAGCGCTGTGACCCCAATTCAACTGATTTTATGAGACCCAACAAGCTCTTATTCCCTAATACTGCACAACACACACACACTTTTTAGCAGAGACCCTCCTCTCTGCCCCACTAGATTTCCATTATCAGTTGAATGATCTGATAACAGTAAGACTTCTACTCTCTTCTCCTCTGTCCTTGTAAGGTGTCGATGTAATGACATACTGATCATGGTGGTTCCTCCCGCTAGAGCAGCTCTGGTGCCATGATAGAAGTCGTCTGCCGGGGTCATGCCCAGGTGAGGGGCCTGTAGACAGGTGTTCACATCGATGCCTCCCGGGATCACAATGTGCCCGTAGGCATCCACTGTCTTCACACCAGTTGGTACGATGAGGTTCTCACCAATCTGCCTGCGTGCCAGAATAATAAATCAATACAAACGGCGTGTGATGTCCCTCATCAAATCGCCTTGGACAAAAGAATCTGCTAAACGAAATGTAAAATATATATTATATAATCACGGCTGCCAAATTCAGGGCTACGTTTAAACTGATGATGTGGGTTGATTATTTCCCCCTCATGGGTTAATGTTTCGACATATTGCATAAATTATATTGAACTGAAAAGCATGTATTGAAATATTTTATATTCTACCAATGATAAAACTGAGGGGAGTTTTAATGAAAACAGATGTTGATGATTTTCATGTTTAAAGTGTAAATAACGCATAACAGTGACTGTAAAATATGTATTTTAAGCATGTAATGTGGCATGTTTTGAGTATTGATATTTAGGATAGGCAAGTATAACTTAATATCAATAAAAAAAAATATAAACTAATTTTAATATAAAGTTAAGAATGTTTTTGGACTATTTTTGATTTTTCGTTTGGGTTATTTTGTTGTAAACCTGGCAACCCTCGATATATTATAAACGCAATAAAAATAAATAAGCTACTTTTTAATGTAAAGTATAGAATGTTTTTAATGGTTAACATGCAGATTTTTAAAATAATGAAATCTTAACATTAAGGCTAGGGTCATTTGGCTATTTTTGATTTGCCTTTGGGCCAGTTTTGTTATGCAGACCTGGCAACCCTGGATTTAATTGCAATTAAAATAAACGTTTAAACGGTTAACTAATTTTTAATGTAAAGTTTAGAATGTTTTGTGGCTAAAGTGTAGATTTTAGAAATAACGAAATCTTACTTAATGGTTCCATCTTCAATGTAAATGTCGGCATAAAATGACTGGTCATCATTTACGATTTTCCCACCTTTAATAATGAGTTTATCACCCTGTGGAGAAAAAAGAAGACATAAAAAATGACTTTAGCGCATCGTGTTATTTCAAAAGTTGCAAGTGATTTAACTTCAAAGTGATTATTCATTGCAAATGAATATGCTGTTATCATCTGCTCACCCATCCATGGAACATAAAAATGAGAAAATAAAAAAAGTTCTAACTTTAACAGGTTTGCCATCACTGCCATCAGGGATTTGAGATATTCAGCATCAAGATACCCAAAAGATCATTACATTTAACTAAAATGCTTTGAATTTCACTGAAACCATGCTGACCCAGTTCCAGAGATCTTTGGATGTAGATATAGAGTGATTTCAAACCACAAAGAGCTGTATAATGCATGCAAATCCTCCTATGCAATATGCAGCGTTCTTTAAGGAGCTAATCAGAGAGATTATATCATTCAAAAACCAGACATTTAAGAATCCAGACAGAGAATACAAAAGAAAGATAACAGGCAACTCCATTCATCTGTAACAACACTTTTCTATTTACTTTATTATCCACGCATGACTGCTGCTGGTTTGCATGAATTCATAGCGACTGATACTTTTCACTGTCCTTTTTTTGCACCATTTCTGATAATCCCAGTTACAGGAGACCAATGCCTGTTCACTCACCCCTGGCATGGATCTATGCCAGGCAACTGGGCTTGTTAGGTTACCCAGGCATGAAACATCATTCACGGTACTGTTAGACATTGGCAACCTCAACTCACAGCACAAAACCTAACTCTCACAAAGTCTAAACAGACATGGCTAAATAAAGAAAGAAATAAAATAAACTTTTTTTGAATTCTGCTCAAGGGTATTTCACCACATTCACTGTGCCGGGGTTGTGTGCAACCCACAGAGCTTCACTTTAATGCAATGTGACACTTCCACGGGCGGCCCATCATTGGCACAGCCAAAATCCCTGCCGAGCATTTCCGATTCTGGGCCACAATGTTGCTTGAGGAGAGACGAGACAGACAGCGAGGGGTCTGGGATGCAGCGTGTAACACCAGGACGACCCTTCAACTTACAGTACTGAATATCCAGAGCCTTTAGCAATTAATTATAGGAGTGTATTATTAAACATTGCATGAATATGCAATTATTATTCCCAGTAATTTGCATCACTTTATGTTTTTTTTTTTTAATGCAGATGTTTCCAAATCAAAGTCATGCGGAGTATGCGTGTTTCTGTGGATTGAATGTGGGTCAGACAGGGGACTCTAGCGGTCAGGCTGCATTGCCAAATTGTGCGGAAGGGAATTGGATCCAATTTGGCCGTACTAACAGTGCTCTTTTCTGGGTTTTCTCACTCCTGCAGTGCACATGGATGAATCCTTGCTTATTAACCCTTTTACTGTCTTTGGGTCATTGTTATTGGTAAAGCATACACTATAATAACACATCATTATCGTTACTGGAACCTGACATGGTCATGAACATATAAATAAGAATTTTTGTTTTAAATATAAAATTGTTTTAATAAAATTAACTATGAAAAGTATGCCATATTGACCTCTCCACATGTAAAAAAAAAATGGTATTTTAATACTTAATTTGTAAAAGAATGTAAAAATGCTACAATGAAAACCTGTTAATTTTCTTTAACATACCTTATTTTTGTATGACAATACATGTACTGTAAAATAATGTAAAAAAAGGTATTTTAGTATAAATTAGTATATACTATATTAGTATCCATTTTAAAATATTTATTACCTTACTCAGAATATTTTATTACATGTAACAAGTTAATACATAACATTAATGGTAAAATATTCAAAAAGCAATTAATTAATGAAATTATGTAATACCCCTTAAAAACACCTACAAAAGTTTATTTAAAAAAACAAAATACAATTAAACAAAAGTGTAAAAGAATATATTTTATTCTTGGTCGCAGTTATGATCAGACACCACTTTAAAGTAACTATGGCCAAATAATAGGGTCAATTTAACTCACTGATGTAAGAAATACTATATAACAGAAAAAAACAACACATTAATGTTTCTTTTTAATTCAAACTAAAAATATAATACAAATAAACATATGCAATTATTCCCATTGATCTATCTGTCAAAAAAATCCATATAAAATGAAATATTCAATATTATTCCAAAATCATTACTTTAAATGCAAGACTGAATGGTTAAAAAAACTGCAATAAACGGTGTTAATAGGGTTAATATTTAAAAAAGTGTAGTAAAACCACCTTGTAATTCATGGGGAAAGGAAATTTCCAACACATTTGTTTTACTTTTTTTTTTTAACTATTCCTGTTTTTGCCCTCAGTATTATACTTCAACTGCCTTGTGTTACATTTACTGTATGGTGCTCTGTCTTCTATAATTACTGACCACAGCTGCTGGAGAGGCCAATTTAGTGGCCTTTCATTGTACTATTATTAGCATATTTGACATCAACAAACATATTCTTATAGCTCAAATGAGTTAGTAGCATTGGCATACAATGATATATAGTCTGTGAAATAGACCTTTACATTAATCAAAGTCCCATCCCGTAATGCTTGCCAGGGGCCAGGGCTCATGGGCAGGGTCCCCAGACACACGTCTAGGCCGGAGAAAAGATTGCAACGCTCGCGACGTAAACGTAAAACGGCGTAAACGGTGCAGCGACGCTATTACTGAACGCATAAGCCAAAATTCGTATTTTATATTCATGAAGACGTCAGACCGACCGGAACCGAAATGAGCCGACATGAATGAATAAAAGACACAATGGACACGAGAAACCGGGAATAAGCCACCGGTTCCGCCGCCATGGCAGATTAAACACATTAACACTGAAGCAGCGTTTTCATCTACATTTGTCACATCGTTGCATGCATTAGTGCAGCTCTTAAATGTTCACCGGCTTTCTCAGCAGTGTTTGGAGGACAGCGGAGGCTCACCCTTGACTGCACAATAAAACCATCCTCCTCCTCCTCAACATCACTGTCTCCGTTACTGCAGCCAGCAAACACTCGCCGGTGCCTCGGGTTTAAATCGCTAACATTTCTTACCGTCACGCGAGGGTTGTTCTTCTTGCGAGAAAAAAGAAGACATAAAAAATGACTTTAGCGCATCGTGTTATTTCAAAAGTTGCAAGTGATTTAACTTCAAAGTGATTATTCATTGCAAATGAATATGCTGTTATCATCTGCTCACCCATCCATGGAACATAAAAATGAGAAAATAAAAAAAGTTCTAACTTTAACAGGTTTGCCATCACTGCCATCAGGGATTTGAGATATTCAGCATCAAGATACCCAAAAGATCATTACATTTAACTAAAATGCTTTGAATTTCACTGAAACCATGCTGACCCAGTTCCAGAGATCTTTGGATGTAGATATAGAGTGATTTCAAACCACAAAGAGCTGTATAATGCATGCAAATCCTCCTATGCAATATGCAGCGTTCTTTAAGGAGCTAATCAGAGAGATTATATCATTCAAAAACCAGACATTTAAGAATCCAGACAGAGAATACAAAAGAAAGATAACAGGCAACTCCATTCATCTGTAACAACACTTTTCTATTTACTTTATTATCCACGCATGACTGCTGCTGGTTTGCATGAATTCATAGCGACTGATACTTTTCACTGTCCTTTTTTTGCACCATTTCTGATAATCCCAGTTACAGGAGACCAATGCCTGTTCACTCACCCCTGGCATGGATCTATGCCAGGCAACTGGGCTTGTTAGGTTACCCAGGCATGAAACATCATTCACGGTACTGTTAGACATTGGCAACCTCAACTCACAGCACAAAACCTAACTCTCACAAAGTCTAAACAGACATGGCTAAATAAAGAAAGAAATAAAATAAACTTTTTTTGAATTCTGCTCAAGGGTATTTCACCACATTCACTGTGCCGGGGTTGTGTGCAACCCACAGAGCTTCACTTTAATGCAATGTGACACTTCCACGGGTGGCCCATCATTGGCACAGCCAAAATCCCTGCCGAGCATTTCCGATTCTGGGCCACAATGTTGCTTGAGGAGAGACGAGACAGACAGCGAGGGGTCTGGGATGCAGCGTGTAACACCAGGACGACCCTTCAACTTACAGTACTGAATATCCAGAGCCTTTAGCAATTAATTATAGGAGTGTATTATTAAACATTGCATGAATATGCAATTATTATTCCCAGTAATTTGCATCACTTTATGTTTTTTTTTTTTAATGCAGATGTTTCCAAATCAAAGTCATGCGGAGTATGCGTGTTTCTGTGGATTGAATGTGGGTCAGACAGGGGACTCTAGCGGTCAGGCTGCATTGCCAAATTGTGCGGAAGGGAATTGGATCCAATTTGGCCGTACTAACAGTGCTCTTTTCTGGGTTTTCTCACTCCTGCAGTGCACATGGATGAATCCTTGCTTATTAACCCTTTTACTGTCTTTGGGTCATTGTTATTGGTAAAGCATACACTATAATAACACATCATTATCGTTACTGGAACCTGACATGGTCATGAACATATAAATAAGAATTTTTGTTTTAAATATAAAATTGTTTTAATAAAATTAACTATGAAAAGTATGCCATATTGACCTCTCCACATGTAAAAAAAAAATGGTATTTTAATACTTAATTTGTAAAAGAATGTAAAAATGCTACAATGAAAACCTGTTAATTTTCTTTAACATACCTTATTTTTGTATGACAATACATGTACTGTAAAATAATGTAAAAAAAGGTATTTTAGTATAAATTAGTATATACTATATTAGTATCCATTTTAAAATATTTATTACCTTACTCAGAATATTTTATTACATGTAACAAGTTAATACATAACATTAATGGTAAAATATTCAAAAAGCAATTAATGAATGAAATTATGTAATACCCCTTAAAAACACCTACAAAAGTTTATTTAAAAAAACAAAATACAATTAAACAAAAGTGTAAAAGAATATATTTTATTCTTGGTTGCAGTTATGATCAGACACCACTTTAAAGTAACTATGGCCAAATAATAGGGTCGATTTAACTCACTGATGTAAGAAATACTATATAACAGAAAAAAACAACATATTAATGTTTCTTTTTAATTCAAACTAAAGATATAATACAAATAAACATATGCAATTATTCCCATTGATCTATCTGTCAAAAAAATCCATATAAAATGAAATATTCAATATTATTCCAAAATCATTACTTTAAATGCAAGACTGAATGGTTAAAAAAACTGCAATAAACGGTGTTAATAGGGTTAATATTTAAAAAAGTGTAGTAAAACCACCTTGTAATTCATGGGGAAAGGAAATTTCCAACACATTTGTTTTACTTTTTTTTTTTAACTATTCCTGTTTTTGCCCTCAGTATTATACTTCAACTGCCTTGTGTTACATTTACTGTATGGTGCTCTGTCTTCTATAATTACTGACCACAGCTGCTGGAGAGGCCAATTTAGTGGCCTTTCATTGTACTATTATTAGCATATTTGACATCAACAAACATATTCTTATAGCTCAAATGAGTTAGTAGCATTGGCATACAATGATATATAGTCTGTGAAATAGACCTTTACATTAATCAAAGTCCCATCCCGTAATGCTTGCCAGGGGCCAGGGCTCATGGGCAGGGTCCCCAGACACACGTCTAGGCCGGAGAAAAGATTGCAACGCTCGCGACGTAAACGTAAAACGGCGTAAACGGTGCAGCGACGCTATTACTGAACGCATAAGCCAAAATTCGTATTTTATATTCATGAAGACGTCAGACCGACCGGAACCGAAATGAGCCGACATGAATGAATAAAAGACACAATGGACACGAGAAACCGGGAATAAGCCACCGGTTCCGCCGCCATGGCAGATTAAACACATTAACACTGAAGCAGCGTTTTCATCTACATTTGTCACATCGTTGCATGCATTAGTGCAGCTCTTAAATGTTCACCGGCTTTCTCAGCAGTGTTTGGAGGACAGCGGAGGCTCACCCTTGACTGCACAATAAAACCATCCTCATCCTCCTCCTCAACATCACTGTCTCCGTTACTGCAGCCAGCAAACACTCGCCGGTGCCTCGGGTTTAAATCGCTAACATTTCTTACCGTCACGCGAGGGTTGTTCTTCTTGCCTTGGAAAGACATGGCACCGGTCTGGGAGCAGCTCTGATTTTCGAGAACGCGAGCCGGGATGGTGATGATGATGATGATGATGATCAGATCTGCGCTCACGTCAGAATAAAGGCGCAGCGACCGGGCGCGTGGACGGGTGTCGGGATTCGGGGTGTAATTTAGTTTGAGATTACCGGGGTTCAATAGTCACTGTAGACAAAAGCCCTCCAGAGCCCCCACCCTCTGTCTGTGTCTGCTCACCATCTGCTGCTTTAGTATTCACACCCCATCCTGACCCAGGGCGAGGCGGAACCTACAGAGCAGTTTTTCCCTTCCTTTTCTTTAAAAAAAAAAATTTTTTTTGGACTTCCACAAATTAACTCATTTAATAACTAGTAAGCTAAGAAAGTATGTGTTTTATTATTTGGAGAATCCAGTTATAATAAATAAATAAATACGTTTTAAAACTGTATATTTTATATAATGGCCTATATTAAATTATTGTATCCTTGGTCACAAGTGGGAAACTACAGGAGTCAAAAATCGTTCACTTTACAATAAAGCAGCATAACTATGTTTATGAAAAACTGGGGTTGTGAAATTTACTAGACATTTCTGAGTGTTTCACTAGATTTCCCCCAGTGGTAAATGTATCTGATGCGCGATTGTTTTTATTGAACTATTTAAGTACTACAAACAAAATGGCAACAAGATACACGATTACGTCACAAAGAGACTAGTATTCAAATAAAATGTAAAATAAAATAATCAAAATTATAAAATAACCAAACAGCTATTTTGAATTTTTAATCATAATCAAACATTTCATTTTGAATTCAAGCCGGAAAGGTTAAAATACATGTGGTAGACGCCATCGCAGTATTAGTCAGTTTTTTTTTAAGTCCATATATATATATATATATATACAAAATTAATATACTGTTTTTCCACACTAATCACAACTAACGTGTCTGAGCCTCCTGTGATCTTTTTATGACAAGTTTGCTTTTTTATAAAGCTTTGATACAAACATGTAAACCGGAATTAAACAGCTACCAACTTAGCATACTTTAAACTGTAATGAGAGTTGTATGATCTATAGACTTTAGCACACAAGAATAGTTGCAACTGGAGTGATTACCTCTCGTCGCCCGTCCTGCGCGCGACCGGGTCCGGTGGGGTAAACGAGGGTCTGACCCTGTGAGCTGCTGGACGGGGTGGGCTGCGTTTGACTCACGCTGCTGAAGTCACTCATGCTCGACGTGTCGCTGAAATTGTCCCTCTGATCGTCCACTCGTCCCCGAGGGTTTCTCCTGGCAGAACTGGGGCTGTACGACTCAAAATTCAAGGTCTTGTTCTCGAAAGCTCCTTCGATGTTGCAGAACATCCCTCCGAACTTCACCCGGGGTTTAGGACTGTCGGTGCCCAGTCTGGACAGCAGGGAACCCTGGTCATCCTCCTGGGGAAGGAGTCTTCTCTCAGCCATGGCTCACAGGTGAAATGGGAAGCCTGTTTGAGGAATCTTTGAGCTGGTATTCCAGAGACACACTTCCACTGAGAGAGAGAGACAGGTGCTGTTATAGGAGCTGTCCAGAGAGGCGTGGTGCTGAAATCCTCCACTCACTGGATTAGCAAAGACACGAGCTCCCTCGAGATTAAGGTAAACCGATTGTTTTACAAACAGTCCGATCAGAGAGAATCAATACTAAGTCCTGTTTCTGAATCTGACTCTTTAGATAATCTAATTCACTAAAGAGAAAGCATGAGAGGAGTAGAATAGACAATTTTACTCTACTTTTAATGGGTGGTTGGCTTGAAAAGCAAGAGTCAACAAGTCTCAAGGATAAAATTCATATGAATAAGGGAAATCTATCTATCTATCTTAGACTTTTGTAATACAAATATTTTGATTATTTTAGCATTTGTACAAATATAAATATAAATTAATATGAGGTCATGAAAACTGCATGTATTGTGATATAAAAGTATAAGTGATAGAAAAATGTCATGTCATAAATTGTGACATTATCTTGACATACTGACTATGCATTTAAAATAATACTAATAAATTGTTATATAGGTTACAGAGCAGTCTTTATTTATTAGTGCTGCATGAAAATCATATTCACAAGTCAGCACCTTATATTTTAGGAAACCATATTGCATGCATGATTTTCAAACAGCATTAATACTAATACTAATACTACTACTACTAATAATAATTATAAATATAGCTGCAAGCAGCAATTCCGGGGCCAAGCCACACTTCCACTGAGAGAGAGAGACAGGTGCTGTTATAGGAGCTGTCCAGAGAGGCGTGGTGCTGAAATCCTCCACTCACTGGATTAGCAAAGACACGAGCTCCCTCGAGATTAAGGTAAATCGATTGTTTTACAAACAGTCCGATCAGAGAGAATCAATACTAAGTCCTGTTTCTGAATCTGACTCTTTAGATAATCTAATTCACTAAAGAGAAAGCATGAGAGGAGTAGAATAGACAATTTTACTCTACTTTTAATGGGTGGTTGGCTTGAAAAGCAAGAGTCAACAAGTCTCAAGGATAAAATTCATATGAATAAGGGAAATCTATCTATCTATCTTAGACTTTTGTAATACAAATATTTTGATTATTTTAGCATTTGTACAAATATAAATATAAATTAATATGAGGTCATGAAAACTGCATGTATTGTGATATAAAAGTATAAGTGATAGAAAAATGTCATGTCATAAATTGTGACATTATCTTGACATACTGACTATGCATTTAAAATAATACTAATAAATTGTTATATAGGTTACAGAGCAGTCTTTATTTATTAGTGCTGCATGAAAATCATATTCACAAGTCAGCACCTTATATTTTAGGAAACCATATTGCATGCATGATTTTCAAACAGCATTAATACTAATACTAATACTACTACTACTAATAATAATTATAAATATAGCTGCAAGCAGCAATTCCGGGGCCAAGCCCGAGAAGGGCTGTAGCGCAGCGCAGAGCGGGAAGAAGAAAAAACGGCAGAAATGGAACGTACATAAGATAGGTTCAGATAGGTTAAGAAGTACAGAAGTTCAAAATCGAAAAGAAGTTCAGATGAGAATGACCAAAAACACATTTCTGGGTTCAGGGCCTGCGGCTTAGCAGAGTGCACCACTCAGTTGACACACTCCCAACAGGCTGCAGAAGAGAAGTTAAGGTGTGAGAATGATCTCACAAAAAAAAAGTTCTTAAGCACTCTAAGCAGCGTAACATAGAAAGTTAAGTAAATTGTAACGCAGCTTATGATTTTCTGACTAACTGTTTAAAAGTTATAAGCCAAAATGTGCATTTTTAGTAACAGTCCATAGGTGGCGCTGTTCCCAAATTTGGCATGGACCATCAGATCTTGTTGTTGATGAAGCATACCAAGTTTGGTTTTGATTGATCAAAGTTTGACCGAGATACAGTCGCTGAACCAATTTGGGTCGACCTTGTTAACTTCACAACATCATAACTTTTTTTTCACTAGTAGATAAAAAATTCTGTTCAGTCATTTCTGTGCAGCTCAGTCCAAAGATCATATGAGCAAATTTTGGGAAGAATTGAACAAAATTTCTAGAAGGAGTAGCGAAAAAACTTTTTCATTCAATTCAATATGGCTGACAGACACCCTTTTGGAAAATGACAAACGAGACATCGTCAGAATCGGCATAACCCATGGAACCAAATGACATAAAAATAACAACAAAATTTGGACAACATTTTGCAAGAATCATTATATCTCTGGAACAGTAGGTGGCGCTGTCTTCAGACTTCTGAGATACCTCCAGGACATGGTGTTGATGATCCCTACCGATTTTTGTGCAAATATGTCCAATGGTTCAAAAGATATTGCAATGTATGTCAAACTTCAAAATGGCGGACACATAGTTCAGCTAATCCTGGCACAATTGACATCCTCAGATTCGGCATGACCCAAGGAATCCATAGACACCATTTTCTGACTAACTGGTCAAAAGTTATAAGCAAAAATAGCTATTTTTGGTATCTCATGACCCATAGGTGGCGCTGAGAAAGCATGAGAGGAGTAGAATAGACAATTTTACTCTACTTTTAATGGGTGGTTGGCTTGAAAAGCAAGAGTCAACAAGTCTCAAGGATAAAATTCATATGAATAAGGGAAATCTATCTATCTATCTTAGACTTTTGTAATACAAATATTTTGATTATTTTAGCATTTGTACAAATATAAATATAAATTAATATGAGGTCATGAAAACTGCATGTATTGTGATATAAAAGTATAAGTGATAGAAAAATGTCATGTCATAAATTGTGACATTATCTTGACATACTGACTATGCATTTAAAATAATACTAATAAATTGTTATATAGGTTACAGAGCAGTCTTTATTTATTAGTGCTGCATGAAAATCATATTCACAAGTCAGCACCTTATATTTTAGGAAACCATATTGCATGCATGATTTTCAAACAGCATTAATACTAATACTAATACTACTACTACTAATAATAATTATAAATATAGCTGCAAGCAGCAATTCCGGGGCCAAGCCCGAGAAGGGCTGTAGCGCAGCGCAGAGCGGGAAGAAGAAAAAACGGCAGAAATGGAACGTACATAAGATAGGTTCAGATAGGTTAAGAAGTACAGAAGTTCAAAATCGAAAAGAAGTTCAGATGAGAATGACCAAAAACACATTTCTGGGTTCAGGGCCTGCGGCTTAGCAGAGTGCACCACTCAGTTGACACACTCCCAACAGGCTGCAGAAGAGAAGTTAAGGTGTGAGAATGATCTCACAAAAAAAAAGTTCTTAAGCACTCTAAGCAGCGTAACATAGAAAGTTAAGTAAATTGTAACGCAGCTTATGATTTTCTGACTAACTGTTTAAAAGTTATAAGCCAAAATGTGCATTTTTAGTAACAGTCCATAGGTGGCGCTGTTCCCAAATTTGGCATGGACCATCAGATCTTGTTGTTGATGAAGCATACCAAGTTTGGTTTTGATTGATCAAAGTTTGACCGAGATACAGTCGCTGAACCAATTTGGGTCGACCTTGTTAACTTGACAAAATCATAACTTTTCACTAGTAGTAAAAAAAGTTCTGTTCAGTCATTTCTGTGCAGCTCAGTCCAAAGATCATATGAGCAAATTTTGGGAAGAATTGAACTAAATTTGTGAGAAGAGTAGCAAAAAAACTGTTTTTCATTAACTTCAATATGGGTGACAGACACCCTTTTGGAAAATGACAAATGAGACATCGTCAGATTCGGCATAACCAAGGGAAACAAATGACATAAAAATAAGAACATTTGGACAACATTTAGCAAGAATCCTTATATCTCTAGAACAGTAAGTGGCGCTGTCTTCAGTCTTCTCAGGTACATCCAGGACTTGGTGTTGATGATCCCTATCGATTTTTGTGCAGATATGTCCAATGGTTCAAAAGACATAGCAATTTATGACAAATTTCAAAATGGCGGACAGGTTGTTCAGTCAATCCTGGCAAAATTGAATTCCTCAGATTCGGCATGACACAAGGAATCCATAGACACAAATATCATAATTTTCTGACTAACTGTTCAAAAGTTATAAGCTAAAATGTGCATTTTTGGTATCTCAGGACCCATAGGTGGCGCTGTTCCCAACGTTGGCATGGGCCCTCAGATCATGGTGATGACAAAGTTTACCAAGTTTCGTTTTGATTGATCAAAGTTTGGCCGAGATACAGGCTCTGAACCAATCACAGGTCAACCTTGTTAAGTTCACAGCATCATAACTTTTTTTTCCACTAATGGTCAAAAAATTCTGTTCAGTCATTTATGTGCAGCTCAGTCCAAAGATCATCTGAGCAAAATTTGGAAAGAATTGGATCAATTTTGAAGGAGTAGTAGGGAATAGACTATTTACTGTACATAAGTAAATACTGTACAATATATATATATATATATATATATATTAATCTAATCCATCAGTGATTATAGGTTGTACTAGGAAAAAGTATTGCAATTTCATGCTAAACAGACAGATGCTAAATAGACCAAGTGCTTGCAGATGTCGTTTACAGTGTGTCTGGTCTCATCTGTGCATGTGGAGATCTGGGAAAGTCCATCTGGAGGCTTGAAGATGTGCCCAAAGGAGAGGACTCCTGCCCCATATGCTGAATGCCTCTGGGAGTGAATGCGTTAAAACACTTTACAGCCGGAATGGATCATATAAAAGCACAATAGCTGCAGTCTAACAATAGCCTGAGGAAAGAGGGCTTGCATTTCATCTAATATAACAGATACATGATTCATTTCCATTCATACCTGACCAGAGAGACGATCTCACCACTTCTTACACGCATGGTATCTAAACAGATCTATAAAATATCGTCAACTACTGTGCAATGAAACTGTGAAAACAGACACAATCAATCATACATTCATAACCAGTTTTAGTAGGAGAGTGCGTGTGAATAAACTAAATTTTGCTGTTTATTTCCATATCAAATGCTCTTTTTAAATTCACATCATGTAGCAAAAAGGGGTTTTCCTGCATGTTTTATAGTTAAGCAGAACATTCAAAGGCAGTGATTGTAAAAGACATCTATTTTAATTTCCTTA